AATCTCATGGATAGAGGATCCTGGCGGGCTACAGTCTACAGGATTGCGAAGAGTTGGACATGTTTGAAGCTTAGCACTGAACTGAAGTGGTCACAAGGGCATATATACACACACACACACATATATGCACACACACATGCAACACCTCATTGAGCTCTGCATGTAAGATTTGTGTACTTTATTGCTTGTTATTCTACTTCAGTTAAAAAAAGGTACCTGAGAGCAAAATGCATGTGCATACACATACATGTATGCAAATATTTTCTAATTTATATTAAGCCATATATTAATGATTCCTCACTGAGCTTCTATAGGTCAGTCAGAATTACTACTCCATTTCACAGATGAATTAAGCAAAGAAATGCATAGTGCATGACTGACTTTCTAGTTCCCAGTATTCTTCATAACTTTATATTAGCTAGGCAATGTGAGCTTTTATGCTTGTGGCTAGACACATTTGTAAAAAAAGGCAAAATTAAATATAAAATGTATGGTCCTAAGCCATAAACTATAGTCTTTTCACCAGCATGTGATTTTAGGTAGTATGTTCAGGATGTTTCTAAAGGTATAGTTGTTTTCAGTGAACTGCTTTATTTGTTAATATTCAGTTCACCTATACTTTTCTTATCTTGGTTTATGATACTATATCTCCTTATTTCTTTGTAAGTTAATGGAAGATAATTCCCTGAGAATCCCATTTGCTATGTCCATCCAATCATAGGTCACTTAATTTAGTGCCCTTATTAAACGCCACTCTAAAGTTTAATAATTTTGCTGGCACCAACACTTTGCCATTTCTCCCCCAATGTATTTTGTGTAATTTATTCTTGTTACAACTCATCCCCCTTCATCTGCCCATAAACTGCAGTCATGATATTTCATGATATTGCCAGCACCATATAATTTACAAACGGCCTTGCATACCTAAAGGTCTATTTAGAAAGAAAGAATAAATTGTTGCAGAGAGCTTGGTTAAACAAGTGGAATTGGGAAGTTTCATTAGCAAGAGCCCAAAGAGATTTTTATAGTGGTAGTTTCTTATTCTTAGACAAGGAGCAGACACTTGCAGAGGGAAATAAAGCAGGCGGCTATTTTGTGTTCCTAATTAAATTGTTTGCTACCAGTAGCAAAACAGAATCTGCCACTGTTAAATAGGCAACATCAAGGTAACTGGCATTGGTTCCTAAAAATATTTCAGTGCAAAGATTAATAAGAACAATTCTCAGAGAAAGGACTACAAACCTAAACAAACAAACAAAAAAATAAATGAATACCTTTGAAGTACTTTTTGTGCTTGAGAGATCTGCCTTAAATGTTGAAATGAACAAAAGCCTAGAATTCACAGGCGGCAACATTTGAAATCTGTCCTCTGAGGAGTGGGTAATTCTCTAAGCTACAAAATAGGACTCCGCCACTGTTCCCCACGCCTTGAGGTGCAGTGCCTGTTAAATGAATCCAGAGCACAAACCGTAAGAGAAGCCCAGCTCTGTCTCCTCCCTACATTACAATTATGAATTGGATTTTCTGTTCTTTCTGCGTGGGTTTCATTAAAAATAACCATGTTATCACTAAATGTACTGGAAAAATAAATATTTTAACTGCAAACTCCTTTTCATTTTCCATTTTGGAATAGTGAAATACTAGTATTGTTTTTAAATATTTTAAAAATTATATTTGTAATATAAAGTGTGAGAACTTGTGAGTCTTATCACTGCTTTGAGAAAACATGTTTCCCCAGTAAAGGTGTCATTATTTTAGGTATGTTTATCTATTCATGTTATGACTGAGAAATAATGAACCAATAATGCTAAGGTTTAACCAGTGTTTGCAGATTCCCATTTAAGACACATTCAGAAGCTTTAAGAGTTAAATAATTATCCTCCCCCCACCTTGAAATTACAAAATCAAGTGAGGGCGGAAAATATTTACTTTCTATAGTTTTAAATAAGATTTGAGTCCTTTAAGATTTACTTGCTAATACTGCTGCCTGATTTTAGTTTCCAGAATAGCAGTAAGTAAAAAAAAACTTAAAAATAAAAAATCAAATATAAATGAAAAACACTCCCTCATTTTAAGATAGGAACCCCCTGGTGTTTGAAGCTGAAATTCAGGAGAGAATCTCACACACTCTCAAATATGGTATCATTACTTTCCTTTAGCAGAAGGGATATGATAGGGCTGACAAATGTGATCTCTGTTGGCAGAAAAGAGAATGGGATCAGCTCCTTTTATGAACACATGAAAAAGCCTGTATAACTTTAGAAACCTTGATGTGATTGAAAATTAGTAGATTTTAGCAGATCTCTCTTTTAAACAGTTTTCCGCTATCCTTTGGTAAGCCACTTCATTTTGCCATCTCAGGATACCGGTGGGGGTGGCTGGTATTTTTTCTTGCTGAGTGAATGACATCACAGAACTGGCATACCCCAACAGCAGATAAAAGGCACTACATCCACAGAGCTGGGCACCTCTAGGATCTGGGGAAGCAGGAAGGAAAGAACACGAACATGCAAACTCCTGGTTAGGTGGCTTTCATTCTCTAGAGTGTTTATTATTTGTATGTTTGTTTTTAAAGAAAGACATTTTCTGTCTTTCAGATTCTGGAAATTAATGTAGGGTGGTTTTCTTCTTTGCTTGAGAAATGTGATTGTAAATGTCACTTCTGTGTTCATGAAATGCTGATATTAAGAAAATGTATCATGATCCACAAAAATCTAGACACTGATTTTGTTAGCTGTTTCTTATATAAAATATGTTCATAAGGTGGTACAAATAATTCTACATATGGCTTAATAATCAGCCTATGTATGTGCTATTGAAAGACATAGTATTTAAGAATTACAGTATATTCCTATTTTCCTAAGAAAATTAGGGAGTTCATTTAATTAATGCTGAAATGCAATAGAATTCCTATGGAAATACTTATGACATCCACTTGCATACCAACTAAGTTCATGATGATCAGTGTTATTACAGTGAATACCAAATGAATTAATAATGCTGGGACACTCGAAGTGTTACCAAGTGTTGTGGTATAACAAATATGGTTAAATATTGTGTGATTAAAGTTATTATAGGGCTTCCCTTGTGGCTCAGCTGGTAAAGAACTGCCTGCAATGCAGGAGACCTGGGTTTGATCCCTGAGTTGGGAAGATCCCCTGGAGAAGGGAAAGGCTTCCCACTCCAGTATTCTGGCCTGAGTCTCAGTCAAAAGAAAGCAAAATTTCATGTCTCTTGTAGGGAGTTAAGCGGGGATCAAACTGCTCTTTCTAAGCACTGTGATTCTTAACTTTGAACAGTCCCCGAAAGTATTTTCCCACGTACTGTAATCATTTAAATCACCTTGGTGCCAAGTGGCAGAGGAGGTGGGGGAGGGTGGGTGGAATGATGTGGTTGTGGGTTGGGAGGTAGGTGGGGGAGGAACAACAGAGAATACCTCAAGAATTCAGCAAGTTGTAAGTATATGTATGATTTTCTGTAGTTTGCATATTAAGAAAAGGAGTTTTCAGCTTAATTATTCTCCTCTAATGACAAGCTTATTAAGATAACTATTTAATAAGTATTTCAGGACAGTAAGGCAGTGATAAACAAGGATAGTTTCTTTAGTTTTCTAGCTGAAGTCCCACTTTTCTGTGTTAGACATTTTGTGTCATAACAATTTCTAAAATAAGTTATTTTTTATACTGTATCCCAACTATATTTGTGTAAATTATCTCCACACGTTCTGTTGTAGAAAAGCTGGACTCTACATCTGCATTGTATTATTTATGCACTTAGATGTAATACATCGTAACAATTCATGTCTGTTATAGATTTAGTAAGACGTGAAGGCATAAGTGGATTTAATCAGACATGTAATTATTTTTATGCCTCCAACTCAGAAATATGTGTAAATGAATTTATGGTTATTTGGCAGTCAGTGGAAATGGTCTTTATAAATGTTGAAACAGCTGCTAGCAAATATATTTGCAAAAGAAGGAAAACGGCACTTATCTTCTTGTTGGGTACATGATAAAGGAATTATTGTTAGCTGCACAAAGTACCCTAGCTGTTAAATATTTGCTTCATCATCCTTAATATCACATAAATATACCCTAAACATAAGAAAAACCTTGAGTTTCTTTCCTTCTGTGATAATGGAACACAATTTTTTACAGGAGGATTTTTAGAACACATCTGTATCCTCAAAAGCTTTTTCTCTAAGTCTGAGCAGTTTCTGTCATGCTGTTTGACTTTTACATTCCCATTTATTCTGTTGTTTGTGGTATCTTTCCAGTTCTTGAGGTAGAACACTCTTATTTAAAATAATGGGCCATGATAATGCACACCCTTCAAATGTGTTGATTCTGGTGTCTATTAGGATTGCTCACTGATGCTTTTACAATAGCTTTAAGACATTTGTAAAACTTTTCTGCCACAGAGAGTAAAATGCAATCCCTGTACTACCAGATTATGACTTTGTTGTGTTGAAATGTCTAATAAATTATGTATCAGTAAATGTAGATCTTGGACAAATACTCCGAGAAGATCTAATTTTCTTGAAGTGCATCTTTTTCCATTCTTTCAGGTTTTCAGTTTAAATTTAATGCCTTTGACTGATGAAATATTAATAGCCCCAGCACCTGAAAATTTCTTTATTCCCTGTAGCAGAGAAAAAAAGCTAGACCTGTCTAATGTGTCAATTATGACCCTGATAGATTACCATATGAAGAATTATTTCATTTTTCTTGGATCAAATATAAAACAGCTATAATATATTTAAGTTGTACTAAAACAGTCACACTGAAGACAGTCCCGCACACAGTGTGAGGGCAGGCAACATAAATAAAGCTGTCATTACCTCTACAAGGTGAGCTTGGATTTGAGCATGCATCTGGGTTTTATGCAAATGATGATTTCCTATACTAACCCTTTGAGTGATACTCAAATAATAACACACCACTGACTTAAAAGTCACTTGCATCAGACTTTTGTAAATCACGGGGTTCTCTTTCACTCAGGTATGTTGTTTCAGCGATCAGTAGCGTTTCCAATGAATCACACACTGACCAGTTGGAAGAGCTTCTGCCTGTTATTGGAGCAAACTCTGCAGACCTCGTCTGTCAGATGCAGCACTCAGCCCTCAGCCCCTCACCGGAGCTGAGTTCCTTGGCAAACGATAGACTGCCCTCTGTTGATGGAAAAAGCAATGCTCAGCGCAGGACACATGGAGAAGCTTTCGGATAAGTCGCAAAGCTGCGATTAGTTGGTACGCATTTTTGATGGAAAGAATCACATTTTAAGCTATAAAAATATTGATTTAACGGGTACTGATAGAGTAAAACTGTTGCAAATTCAGAGAGTTCAGAGGCAGTTGTAGAATTATATCTACTTACACACACACACAGCTTATTTTTCAGTTTCTACATAGCTGGAAATGCTAGGTAAGATGATTTCTTTTTATTCTGCGTAGATACTGATTTACCTACACACACTGTGCTTCCATTCAATTATTTCTGAAGCTGAATTGAAAACTTGGCATGAATAATAATCCCAAATGCTCAGGGTCTATAATTTAAATAATTTTAAAGTGAAAAACTATAACAAACAACTCAAATGAATAGGGAAATTTCTAATTCCCTCAGGCTCAAGGAAGGGTGGGGGTGTTTAGACAGAAAGCAAAATCGCGGAGAGCAGCCTCCAGCGCTGTCTCTGCAGGGCGAGAAAAATGGATAGCCTGGTTTGCTGTTAATGGCTTTCAAATGACGTTCTAGTGAGCCCTTATAAAACAGTAAATTTTATTGCAATTTTAAAGCAGTCTTTCACTGATGCTTTCACTTTTCACAGTCTTTCACTTTTTCTTTCTTCATTTCTATATTTCCATTTACTTTGAATTGGAAGGTGGAGGGGGTTGGAATCAAATCTCACAGAAGTGACAGCTTTCCATTTTAAATCCATTTCACATGTTAATTAGTTTAAAAGCAAACTTGAAAAAATGTTAACTTGCACCAAATACAGGAAGCATTTTAATTTATGTGACTTCCTTGCCTATTTTGGATAAAGACACTCACATTGCTACTGCATGTTTCAAACGTCTTCTGTCTAAGAGACTGAATGTGGGCGATCTTTGTGTATTTTAGATACGCAAAGCTGTAAGCTGCTCTTGTGCTTAAATCTGAGTATCTGCAACCACAAAATTAACCTTATGTTGGAATTTGATTGCAATCTTCAATTCCAGTGTTAGAAACGGCGAGTTTTCTTTTTTTCCTGAGGTTCTATTTGCAAATGCTAAATGAACTTGAAACTTAATAAATTAATCTTTATGCTATTGCCAAAAGACAGTGCTACCAAGAAAAGAAAGGGGGTATGTTAAATTGGATTTTCTAGATATGTTATCAGTGTTGATGAAATTGATCAGATAAATTACTCAGTAACACTTTTCATTTTTCTTATAGAGAGGCTAAGAGGTGGTTTTTTGTTTTGTTTTTAAGTAGTTTACTTAAAGCTTTAAGGAGTCTTCCTTTAAGAAGTTTTTCTTAACTTCCTTAAAAAACCCAATCTTTTTTCTATTTGAAATAATTTTGTTAATGTGAATGCAAATAATTTTCACAAGGTTTGTTTGCATAAGGATGGGACATATGCTGAGGAAATAATTTAAAATGTGAGTTGAAATTCTCATTGACAATGATCTGATGAATGGAACTGGTGATGCTTCAGAAGTTGATGCACACAGCCTAAATAGCTGAATGAAAACTGAAAAATTCAGTTAGCATACCTGAGATATCAGCTCACTAGAACCTCTTTATTAGGAGGAATTGCAAACAGGAGAGTGAGATCCTGTTGAATTGACAATGTACTGGAGTTAGTTAAGATTCCAGAGGGTTTTATCAGTAGTCCCTAAACGTGCTTCCTACTTTACCCATCTTAGCTCTTATACATGTGGTATTTTTTTTGCTTTTTCCCCCCAAAGCAATATAATATGTTTTTTTAATCAAAAATATAATTATCTCATTTCGATTTCTTTTTTTAAACAGTAAAATTAACACGTAGGGACAGAGAACAGAACCTAAATGTGATAAACACTTTTTTTTGTTGTTTAAAAAAACAATTTTTGTTTTTTGTTTGTGAAACAAAAACACAATTATTAAAATGCAGATGTATAGAAAATGAAAGTAAAGTTCACAAAACTTTTTGCTTTGCTTCCACTACTTTAATTAAAGCTTGAAACTAAAATAAATTTACATTTCAAGGAAAAACATGTTTTAAAAATTAGAAATAGCTAAACTCGTTATAATTTGCTTTTACATTTAATAAAGAGTATTTAACTAACTTTTCTCCTTTTCCCAAATATTAGTGTTATTTACATGGATTGAATTATAAAATAGTCTTATAACACTTGCGATGTTTATAAAGCAAAGTTAAACAGGTGCTAAATATTTTAGAAACAGCCCACCAGAGGGCAGTCAGCTTTTAGTCTAACAGATTTGAAGTAGATAAATTTATTGGTATGGTTGGATTTTAAGTAAAACATCTATTTAAAATTACATTTCTTTTTGCATCTACAAGTTGAACGAAATAAGTCATGACTTCACATTGAGAAGGTTAAGACCTCAAACATTTTGAGTAAAAACTATTAAAGGGTGAGCAATTCTAACTTCTGCCCTCTGTACACCCTCACACTCAGTTTTTCCATTGTGATATTTATTTTTAGTCATAAAGTAAGATTTGTTTTGATTTGAGATGCCTTGGGACATTAATATTTTTTAATCAATACTGGCTTTAGGACAACTTCTTGCTGAGAGAGTCAAAGACAGAGACAAATTGGGGGGTGGTGCGGAAAAAGGGAGGAAAGGAGGTTAAGAAAAGAAAGCTTTTGTTTTCTTGCTCACCTCTGTCTCTTACTCATTCCAAATGCATCTAGTATGGTTTTATTGGTGAATAGTGTGCTTAATAATATGTATTGTACAGATTATATGTAGGAAATTCTGGAACCTGTGTTTGGAGATTGTATGATCAGGTCATAGTTTGTTTCTTTGTGCAGATACCATAGGTGTGGGCACTGATTATCCTCTCATTATCTTAGTAGTGGGAGATAATATTATTTATTTAGAAGAGGAGTTCAAAAACACTGAGATTCTTGCGTATATAGTAAGGAAGAGCCATTGAGATTTGGATAATATTTTGTCATTGTTGTTGTTATTTGCAAAACTCTGGTTGTTACAATTCTAAGCCCTAGAAACCAAATGGTCCTCTAAAGCCTGCAAAAGAGAACATGAGTAGTAATAGTAATAATTCCTTATGAGGGCTTAAGTGCTTTCAAATATTCTCTCACTTGCTTTTCTATAATAACCCTACAAGATATTGAGACCCAAGTTAAATCACTTGGCTATGATAACAGAACTAAGACCTAGATCTCATCCTCGTGTTCTTCATTATCTTGTCCTGGAATTGGAGAAACCAAGAAAGAAGATAGAGTTGTGGATCCCCCCAAGGGTCATTTGTTTATTTTTATCAAAATGGAAACCAAATTTTTGTTATTATAAAAATCACCTATGTTTATAGGAAATAATGATCTCCCAACCACAGCAATTAGTTGTTGTTGTAGTTCAGTCACTGAGTCATGTCTGACTCTTTGTGACCCCATGGACTGCAGCACGCCAGGCTTCCCTGTCCTTCACCATCTCCCAGAACTTGCTCAAACTCATGTCTGTTGAGTTGGTGATGCCATCCAACCATCTCATCCTCTGTCACCCCCTTCTCATCCTTCCTTCAATCTTTCCCAGCGTCAGGGTCTTTTCCAATGAGTTGGCTCTTTGCTTCAGGTGGTCAAAGTATTGGAACTTCAACATCAGTTCTTCCAATGAATATTCAAAGTTGATTTCCTTGAGGATTGACTGGTTGGATCTCCTTGCAGTTCAAGGGACTCTCAAGAGTCTTCTCCAACACCACAGTTCAAAAGCATCAATACTTTGGTGCTCAGCTTTCTGTATGGCCCAGCTCTCACATCCATACATGACTACTGGAAAACCATAGCTTTGACTAGATGGACCTTTGCTGGCAAAGTAATGTCTCTGCTTCTTAATATGCTGTCTAGGTTTGAAATAGCTTTTCTTCCACTGAGCAAGCGTCTTTTAATTTCATGGCTTCAGTCACCTTCTGCAGTGATTTTGGAGCTCAAGAAAATAAAAGTCTGTCACTGTCTACGTTGTTTCCCATTTGTTTGCCATGAAGTGATGCGACCAGATGCCATGATCTTTATTCTTTGAATGTTGAGTTTTAAGCCAGCTTTTTCACTCTCCTCTTTCACCTTCATCAAGAGGCTCTTTAGCTCCTCTTCATTTTCTGCCTTTAGGCTGGTGTCATCTGCATATCTGAGGTTGTTGGTATTTTTCCCGTCAGTCTTGATTCTAGCTTGTGCTTCATCCAGCCTGGCACTTCTCATGATGTCCTCTGCATATAAGTTAAATAAGCAGAGTGACAATATACAGCCTTGACATACTCCTTTCCCATTATTGAACCAGTCCATTGTTCCATGTCTGGTTCTAACTGTTGCTTCTTGACCTCCATACAGATTTCCCAAGAGGCAGGTCAGGTGGTCTGATATTCTTATCTCTTTAAGAATTTTTCATAGTTTGTTGTGATCCACACAGTCAAATGCTTTAGCATAGTTAATGAAGTAGAAGTAGATGTTTTTTTGAAATTCTCTTGCTTTTTTGATGATCCAGTGGATGTTGGCAATTTGATCTCTGGTTCCTCTGCCTTTTCTAAGCCCAGATTGAAGATCTGGGAGTTCTCAGTTCACATACAGTTGAAGCAGTTAATACTCTTAATGTTATGATATATATGTTTCCAGATGTTTCCCCTGCAAGTGTACATATTTTTTAAAAAATGGTATCACGATATACAGGTTCATAGCCTCTTCTATTCACATTACAGTATATCATAAACACCTTTTCACATCATATTGATAATAAAAGCTAACATCTGCTGAGTGCTCACCATGCCCAAGGTGCATTTTAGGCTTAGGCACTTCTAAGCATTTTACATGAGTTATTGCATTAAGTCTCATAATATCCCTCTGAAGTAGGTAATATTGTTTCCTCATTTAGTAGAAGAGAGAGGAGATTAACTATTGGGTGACACACAGAGCTTATATCTTGACTCTTTGACTTTTTAAAGGCATTAAAGTATTCTACTATATGAACCATTTAACCATTCTTCATTGGTGAGCAGCTCCCAGTTTCTGAAAAGCAGTATTTCCAGAAAGGG